CAACACTATACCTGTACCTGCTTTTAATATTTGATCAGGCTTCTAATACATAACATCCAATGAACTGCATCACAATCAAGATACAGTTAGGGTGAAATCCAGTACAGTACCTTATTGAAGTTCTGTATCAAAAGTAAATAAGGCCACTTTAATTAAAAACTATGTAATCTTACCTATCCAAGCTAAATCTTTTGACATTTACAGTCTATGAGGCACAGATGACAAACAATTAAAATATTACATTACTGTAGTTGTTTTATTTTTTATTTTTTTATTTTTTTTAAGTTTTAAGTACTGTAGTCAAATTTAATCAGGATTTTGCTTTTGATGTTCAAGATTGACAAACAATTAAGCCATTTAGCTGCTGATTTCATTCTTGATCCACTTTAGTTTTGAATAGGATTGTGAGAGTGTGTGTGTATGAGTGTAATAATAATAATAATACTGTACTGTAATAATTAATGGTTTACTGAAGGAGCATGACAACCGGAAGGCTGGAAATATACAGTTACATAATTGGGGAATGGGTCTCTTGTTTTACAAATAATATACAAGCAACATAAGTGATACAAATATGATATATAATAAATAGGTTGGGAGAAGGTCATACTTCAGGGCATTTCAACATAGTGACAGTGCAAAAAGTAAGATTGACTGGGAGTGAATCCACTGGTTGATTACAAGTTATTGATAATTTTTACAATGGTTGGGACTGTGTGTGTGTGTGTAATAATATTAATAATAATAATGATAATAAACGGTTTATTAATAGAGTTGCAGCCGGTGGATGAAAATATACAAACTTACATGTGATTTAGACATAATAACATATGTTCAGTACATTTACAGGGCTGTACTGTACATAAATCAGGAGCTGTTTATTATTTTAACAATAGATGGGATGGTGCTATTCTTGTAACTATCAGTGCGGGCTCTTATGGGCTGAATTTTGATGTAGTGGCGGACTGCGCGAGGTGGGTGGGGGATTGCCAGTGGCAGTAGGTTGCGATGATGAGGATGGTGCAGTAGTCCACTGCCAAACCCTGCTATTGCATTGTGGTGGAGGTCACTGAGGTATTCCCATTTCCAGGGCGGAGAGAGTGTTGTTGTAGCCGGTGTAGTCTGCGCCGAGCATGATTCTGCAGGCCCTCTTCTGTACCTTCTCTAGCTGACGTTGTTGGGTAGAGTTGAGAGAAGACGACCAGGCTGGTGACGCATATGTTAATTTTGGGAGAATAAATGCGTTGTAGATAGTCCTCGGCTCTGACATGGGTGCCCCAAGTGAACTGAGTCGTCGTAGCATGTAGAGTCGGTACGAGGCTGCCTTGATTGTGTTGCTTACATGGGCCTTCAAGTCCAGTTTGTGGTCTATAGTTACACCCAGGAGTTTGGCAGACTGCACCAGCTGGAGAGGATGGGCACCCACTGTGACTGCTGGAGCTTGCACTGGAGTGGTGGCGGTATTGAAGTGCATGACTACGGTTTTGGTGTGATTGATGGTGACCTTATTTTCCGTAGTCCATGCCTGTAGCCTGTCCAGGGTGCCTTGTAGCGATGAGTAGTCCGGTGAGGTGTTGTCCACTGTAACCCTCACAGTGCAGTCATCCACGTACTTCCACCTGTGAGGAGTGTCCGATAGAATGTCGTTGATCAGGATTAGGAAGCACAGTGGTCCCATCTTGGTCCCTTGGGGAACACCGTAGGTGAGGTGTTGGAATGTGGAGACAGAACCCTGGTACCTGACTGCCTGACGACGCTCACTCAGGAAATCAGTGAGCCATGAGACCAGGTTGGTGGGCAGCCCTAGTGCAATGGCCTTGTTGATAACAGTGCAGTGATCAACAAGGTCAAAAGCCTTCCTGAAGTCAACAAGGGCAACGGCCACTGGTGTCTTACGTTTCTCCAGGTTTTTGTGCAGAAAGTCCAGGAAACTAACTAAGCAGTGTGATGTAGAGAAGGTCCTCATATTGCCAAATTGCTGTGGATCAATTGACTGAAAAATACTAGCAAATGCCCATTCAAAAACAAATTCTTCACAGAGTAGACTCTGTGTGTGTGTGTGTGTGCGTGCGTACGTGCGTGCGTGTGTTATATATATATATATCACTATCTGTTGTGTGTGATATTGTTTAAGAAAGTCATAATAAAACCTTAATGTAACCATACTACAGTATACTGTATAGTGATAAATATTGCAGTCACTATTTCAATTATTCCAAATGAATGAATCATTAAATGGCAGCAATACATGTAGCTGCACTATATTCTGGTTATTTAGAATGGATTAGAGGGTATTGAACATTCTATAGAGATAAGTGTACTGTGTAACTTAAGGTATAGTATAGTTCAGAGTACGTGCTTCTCTTATAAAATAAACCAAAATCAAGTACAGTACAGATAGTGGAACTCGACTCCTTATATGAACTGTCTCCAGACCAACACTAGAGGAGATAGTGAATGCAGTTACCAACAGTTGGACCCACATAGGGTGAACATTTTTATGACTTGTATATACTGTACAGTACAGTATAAGGATATGTCATTTGAGGTGCTCCACATTAGAAGGGGGTGAAGCGCCAACTTTAAAAAGTGGAGAAAAAAGCATTTAAAGTCTTTTGATGTTCAAACTTTGTTGTTTTTTAAGCTAGAGTTTTTTTTTTTTATCATGCAGCTCAATCCCTCTCTTAACGAACTGTGAAAACTGGAATTTAGTACTGTGAAAGGTTATTATTTTATTGTGAGTTGAATGAGAATAACTACCTGTGATGTTCAGTTGTTTGATCTTCAAATGAACAATAATAGTGTTTTTCTGCAAATTTTCTTATTATTGTGGGCTAATACTGTAAAACAAGTTAATGATCACCAAAAACAACACTCGTCTGACACCCGCCCCCCCATAAACTTCCCAACCCCCGCAAATTAAATAATAATAAAAAACTCATTTGCCAAAAAGTATTTATCTTTCCGTCCCTATTATTAGCCAAAGATTTATAATATTGTTAAGTATAATAATAAGGAAACACCACTACACTCATCCCCCCACCATTAACCCCCCCCCCAACGTAATTAACATACGAATACAAAGGCGGAGAAAGTTTGCATTATGATAATAGTATAGTACCCTGTATAGTATTACAATCTTACTTTGTTTAGTTCCTTCGTTTTATTATCCCTGACAATTGTAATGAGTTGAAGTTACATAAATCCTGAGGAGTGCGTATAACTTTAATGGCCATCACCATCGCCAGTAGCACTTGCATCACCATAATCACTACTAAACTCACCACCAAAATCACTATCACCAAGCATTACTGGGGTGTCCACCTGAGCACTGTCGCCACTAAACACATGCTCAGGATTTAGGGCTCATGAACCCACACCATACATTGCATAGCACTTCTCACACCCGTGGAACACGAATAACGTCAATGTTATGCCAAAAAGTTATCCAAAATAGCAGTAGAAACACTGAAGCGCCTTATGCTATTATGCTATGCAGCGCGGCAAGACTAACAAGGAGGCAGCATCTGGGCGTATGGGTTGGCCGAGGAGCTGTGACGTAGCAAGGGAAATCCATTGTGATTGGCTGACTCAGGGGGTATGGTCCACGGGATGCGCGCTGTCATTGACTCACGCTCCTCTCACTGTGAACGGGATGTGACCACCTTTACTTAGTGGGCGCACACCCAGATACGTAGTTCCCAGCCCGAGGCAAAATGAGACCCTATTTTTTAAGGATTTTCAACCATATTTCTAGTCTACCTCGGGGGTTACATCCAAGGCCAACATTAAGAGGAAGGATGAAAATAGTGATATCCATAAAAAAATGCATTTTGCCCAGGGTGGCACCTTACCCCCTTGTAATGCGGAGCATCTCATAATTTTGATTGTGAGGAAGGAAAATAAAAATTTTACACCGAGTCATTTCCACTTGAATGTGAGACACACACACACACACACACACACACACACACACACACACACACACACACACACACCATATTTCTCATATCCCGCTACTCAGTGTTAAGGGTGGAAGCTTGGCCAACTATACATGGAGGTTCATTCTCAGCTCTTACTTAGCTTGTGTGATGCTTCAGGTTTTGAAACTCTGTTAAGGATCTCGACAAACTAGCAAACTGGATGAACTCGCTTTCACTTATGGGCTCCAGGTCTTTAGGATTGGAGATGGTAAGATTTGCCACAGTTTGCTGGATCTCATGAAGTAAGAGAGTGCCAGCTTGTGTGGTTTTGGCTGGTGAGTCACTTATAGAGGAGAGTGTGAGTGTTTGGTGTGCCAGGTGAATCAGTTGTCCTCATTGCTGTAATCCCGATGGCAGGTGTTGGATAGTGTGGCTGGGTAGCATGTATTGCACGGCCAGTCACTCTCCAAACATTACAAAAATGTATGATGGCTTATCCCAGGACTCCAGATGTATTTAATTCCAGTGACTCAGCTCAACTGTACCTGTTATTGTTCTAGTTAACTGTGTATGTCTTGTAATGTTTGGGGGGTGACGGCCTTATGAATACAGTATTATGGTGTTTGTTTTTGTAGTTTAGTCTTTCTTTTAGTTTGACTTATTTTTCAGGAGAATGAATAGTGCAATACAGTACTGCCTCCTATGTCTACTTTATTATACATGAGAATAATTGATGCTATACTACAGTACTGTATTGTACAGTACTTCCCACACTTTATCATACAGTACATGACAATTATTAGTATTAGTTCCTTCCTAAGTTTAATTTATCACACCTGTTTTGGGGGTAAATATGAGTTATTTAAGAGAAGATCTTCCTTAAGAACTACTCAGTAATATTGCTGCCTTTGTCTTTTTTTTTTCACTTGAGGATCAGTGTTTTAAAACTAAGCACAAAGTCCCACAGCACAGCTGTGAGAAATTAATTTCCTGAGCATTAAGGAACTTTCCAGTGCATAAGCAAGTACTGGTATTCCATGCAGCTTTCATCCATATTTCTTTTGTTTTCCTTCTCAGGTTGCAATCAAGACCATCAAGAAGGCCAAAATTGAGACAGAACAAGACTTGATACGCATACGGAGAGAGATTCAGATCATGTCATCAGTCCAACATCCTCAGATCATCCATATTTATGAAGGTAGAAAAGGATGACTCATCAATGTGGTCCTCTTGTGGAAAATTATCTCATTTATTTCTACCTTGGTAATGTATATATTTTAATATGTATTTCTTCTGAAGAATGGAAGGTGTAATTTGTTTACATATACTGTACAGTATTAGCTGCTTGAGTCTGACCTACAGTTCATAGTTACCACATAATTTTTTCTACATTCACAGTATTTGAAAATCGGGAAAAAATGGTGTTGGTGATGGAATATGCGGCGGGTGGAGAACTCTACGATTATCTTAGCGAGCGCAAGGTGCTATCGGAAGACGAAGCTCGGAGAGTGTTTCGTCACGTTGCCTCTGCAACATATTATTGCCATAAGGTTGGTATCGCATACATCACAGTACAGTACAGGTACTTGTTATTCATGGACATAATAGTTTTGTATGTCAGGTATAATATTTGTATCCTTTCAGATGTTTCCCTTCTTTACTATGATGCTAAATGTAAAGTGTTGTCTCTACACTACCTGAATATCTGCAAGTAATTGATATGAATAGCAAGTCAAAAATATTCCCCAAATACATGTATTTCTTTGTACTGTACAGTAATTTTGGTTGTAATATTAATGAATGTTAGTTTCTTCTTAGCACAAGCTCATATTACAGTACTGTACAGGGTATTAGTTTGTTTGTGTGTGAATTTGTACAGCAGTACAGTATAGTATGGTGCTTGTGATGAAAATAAGAAGTGTGTTTCCAATTACCCAAAATATCTCATTTGAAAAATTTCTTGCCATACTGTAAGTAATTACATTTATAAGGTAACATATTATGGTGCAGTATTGTTAAGTGATGTCATTACTGTTTCTTTACAGCATAAAATCTGCCACCGAGATCTCAAATTAGAAAATATCTTATTGGACTTGGAAGGTAATGCCAAGGTAAGTGTCTAAATTATATCTTAGGATTTTACAGTCATAAGAACATAAGAATGGAGGAAATTGCAGCAGGCCTATTAGCCCATACTGGGCAGTCCCATTTACACCCATCCCCTGTTGCTCATATATCCATCCAACCTATGTTTGAAGCTATCCAGCGTATTCGAGTTAATGATGATATTTGGTAACTTGGTCCACTCATCCGCTACTCTATTTCCAAACCAATCTTTACCTATTTTGCGCCTAAATATAAATTTGTGTAATTTAAAACCCTTGTTACGGGTCACTCCTGGTTGGATAGTTTGAGTACCTTTGTAATGTCCCCTTTGTTCAGCCCTGACTTCCATTTATATACCTCGATCATATCGCCCCTCACTCTACGTCTCTCGAGGGAGTGCAAATTAAGAAGCTTTAACCTGTCTCTGTACTCAAGGTTCCTAATGATTTAAAGAAAAACTGTACATTCACAGCACCAATGTCCATTTTCTGTAGTAAAGTATTGCATTATTTTACTGTTTTGTAATTAAAGAAACAGGCGAGACTATTAAAATAAGGTTAAAGTATGAAAAAAAAAAAAAAAATATTATATAAAAATAAAATATATATATATATATATATATATATATATATATATATATATATATATATATATATATATATATATATATATATATATATATATATATATATATATATATATATATATATATATATATATATATATATATATATATATATATATATATATATATATATATATATATATATATATATACATACACAGTCGACCCTCGTTAATTCGGACCCCTTTAATCCGGATTTCGGATAATTCGGACAAAATCTGAACGAACTTTTTTTTTTTTAAAGATTTGTAGGAATATTACCTACGCGGACCTTAAGCTAAAATGCTGGTCCACCCACTGCTGGGATAAAACACCAGCGTCTTTTTGGTCAAATGTAACATCACCACTAGTGTGGGGGGGGATGCAACTTTTAGCTTCAGACATGAAAAATATTTACCATTTACTGCCAGTAAACAATGGAAACGTAAAATTTGTACCAATTAGTAATGAAAAGTTGTGCAGTTCCTTCAGCAAATGAAGCTCACCAACTTACAATAGGCTAAATTACCTTACAACGTGTTTTCAGTAGTCTATGTTGAAGTTCTTAGCACAGGCTAACTTATCATATCATATACGGTATCACAGTTCTCATTGATCTACAAAAAATACCGGTAATAAAAACCTTTTTGATATTTCACACTTAATATAATACCCGGTAATCTACTTCAACCTCCTATTGTTTACAACGACACATGACGCACCACCAGCTGTTGAGTATTAGCTACACGGTACGCTTGTTTTTCGAATCGTTTTCAGTTAAAAAACTGTTACATCACATGTATATTTTATCTTAACTGTGCCTGAATGAATATATTCTCAGAAATAAATAGTATTTTTGCCGAAACGTGATGTATTTCAATGTAAAATAGGATAAAATACATGACGAAAACAAAAGACTTTACCTACCCTTCCGATGTTCTAGAGAAGTTACTCGTTTTTTTAATAGTTTTTGGTTAAAATACTGTTATATTACAATGGTATTCTATTCATACTGTGCTTGATATAATGCATTCACGGAAATGTAATATTTTTGCTGAAATGACGTACGTTTTACAGTGGAAAGTGGGATAAAATCGTGACGAAAACAATGACTTTCGCTTTCTTTCGTTCAAATGATGTTACCGTAATTGCTTTTCGAATGGTTTTCAGTTAAAAATCTGTTGTATTACAATAATATTCTATCCTAATTGACTTGAATAAATACTACGATACCATATTTCTGAATATTTTCATTAAAATTCATCCAAATCATTTTCCTTGTCATCATCTGCAGCACCAAACAGCTTCTCCCAGTCCTCTCCTTGAACAGGGCTAGAGGGTACGTGTTTTTCGAATCGTTTTCAGTTAAAAAACTGTTACATCACACGTATATTTTACCTAAACTGCGCCTGAATGAATATATTCTTGGAAATAAATAGTAGTTTTGCTGAAACGTGATGTATTTCAATGTAAAATAGGATAAAATACATGACGAAAACAAAAGACTTTACCTAAGCTTCCGATGTTCTTGAGATGTTATTCGTTTTTTTAGTAGTTTTCGGTTAAAATACTGTTATATTACAATGGTATTCTATTCATACTGTGCTTGATATAATACATTCACGGAAATGTAATATTTTTGCTGAAATTACGTACGTATTACAGTGGAAAGTGGGATAAAATCGTGACGAAAACAATGACTTTGAAATATAATGCAATATTAACCCCGAAATCGGTTAATTCGGACAATCGGCTAAAACGGACACCCTTCCCCCTCTATTAGTCCGAATTAACGAGGGTTGACTGTATATATATATATATATATATATATATATATATATATATATATATATATATATATATATATATATATATATATATATATATATATATATATATATATATATATATATATATATATATATATATATATATATATATATATATATATATATATATATATATATATATATATATATATATATATATATATATATATATATATATATATATATATATATATATATATATATATATATATATATATATATATATATATATATATATATATATATATATTTCTATGTACATTTGCCTGAACTTATACCTAGTACAGTGGCTAGTGTGTCTTGTGAAATGTGGCAATACAAATGTGCCTACTGTATCTAGCAACTATTGCGAGGTTCCTTAGGGCTATTCCTGGAGTTTTAATATGATGTAGCTAAACAGACTCAGAGGCAAGCAAAATATATTTTTAAATAGTATCTTCAGTAATACAGATTTAATTTTAGAGACTTCACAGTTTTCACTCGAGAAAGTCTAGGTGACTCATCGTCCCTTAATGCATGCAGAAGGATATGCCGCATGCCCTCATTGGACATATAGACGTAACGATCCTAACAATAACATGATAAAATGAACTTAATTGTGTTGTAGCATAAGGAATTTGTGCCATTTTAGTAAAATTTAATACTTTTTCCCTTAATAAGTATGAAGTCTTATGTTATACGGTGATATTATATTACTTAAGAGTTGTTGTTCCATAAGAGTGGCAATTTAATGAGGTTTCTGTAAATGTAATGGGTACAAATGCCTGCAGTTCGAAAACTGCATTCACTTGTCGAGCGGCTCTCCGTCAGCCGGACAAAACTGGTCCACATTATTATTTTTAATATTTCTAAATAACCCTACAGTCCGCTTTCAGTTATAGTTTTTCAGTTATGATATTTGATTTGATAACTGATATATGTGGGTGTTCCGCATGCCTCATCAGTGCAACCACGGTACGCCGCTGGTACAGAGATGGGTACAGTAATTGGGTATCCTGCTGTAGCTTAAAGGACACTGAATGATTCTGTAACAAGAGAGGATTCCTGGTGTACTTTTAATCACTATGCTAGACAGAGTTAATTGCTAGAAATTATTTAGAAAGTTATTAGAAAGAATGGCTATGATTTATCCATGTGTCTCCATGCCATAGTCCTCGGGTATATTCGACAAGTATTTTAAGGTACCTACTGTGGGTTAATGTTGCTTCAGGGAGGATCCATTAAGGAGGAATAATCTTACCTTAGTTACTGGATAATGTTTAAGATGATGATTTATAGTCAGGCTTAAGTGGGGAGCGAACACTTCTATATAACTTATGTTGTCCAGATGATGTGGTGATACTTTGCTGCAGCTGATTAACCCCTTCATTATGATGACTTAACCCCTTCATTATGATGACTTAACCCCTTCATTATGATAACTTAACCCCTTCATTATGATGACTTAACCCCTTCATTATGATGACTTAACCCCTTCATTATGATAACTTAACTCCTTCATGAGGCTGGCATAACCCTTTGATTCAGGATTAATGGTTAATGCTTTATACTCGAGGAATTAAGACATTGTACTCAAGGGGTCATTATCATACTCTAGGAGTTAAGTTATCTTTATCAGCACAGTAGGCTGTTTCATATTACTGTACTCTGGGTTGACCTACCGGTAATACTGTACTCAATATAAGTTTTAATACATAAAACAGGATGCTATATATAATGACAATCCTCATGTTTTGCTGATTAATAAACAGCCTTAACCCTTGAATAGTAAGTATTATCTTTGCAAATCAGCTGTGGGGATGGCAGCCATCATCAGTGAATGTTTCTTGTTCTTTGCATTCCTTTTTGGGGTTGAAATATTATCTAGGAGCATAAATCAGTGGGGTCACTCATGATGTTATTGGTTTTTGCATATGGCATCACAATTCATCCTATTTCATTACTTTATGTAGAAAATAGGTGGTATTATGCAGATACTGTATCATGGTGGTTATCAGGTTTAGGAGGAATGAACGAAAGGTGGAACTCACATTCAGACATACCAACTGAACCGAGACTGCTGTGTACGTGTTATTGTGTTCATTTCCAAATACATCAGGCCCAGGGGGAGGGAGGGGAGGGGGGCGATTCTTTTTTGGGAGAGTATACAGTACGTTTATACTGGATACATTTAGAAATCAGTCTGTATAATTATGGTTCAAAGTTTGATGTAAATTTTCTTTTTTTGCAGATTGCAGATTTTGGTCTTTCAAACGTGTTTGATGAAAAACATCGGTTGGACACATTTTGTGGGTCTCCTCTTTATGCATCACCAGAAATTGTTAAAGGCATCCCCTACACTGGACCAGAAGTGAGTCTGATTACTGCTCTTTTATCAGTTATTTAGGTTAACTCATTCCATTTATATACAGTATGATAAATTTTATATCAGTGTTTGTAGGTTTATATAAAACACATGATTGTATGATATATAATACAGTACAGTACTGGGATATTTAAGAAAAATCTTGAACAAAAATACAGTACTACATAATATTTGGGTAATTTATTTACATTAGGTTTCCTGGGGATGAAGGTCGGTCAAATTTAGGTTAAGCTAAGTTAGATTATGATAGGTTAGATTAAATTGGATTATGATAGGTTAGATTAAATTGGATTATGATAGGTTAGATTAAATTGGATTATGATAGGTTAGATTAAGTTAGATTATGATAGGTTAGATTAAGTTAGATTATGATAGGTTAGATTAAGTTAGATTATGATAGGTTAGATTAAGTTAGATTATGATAGGTTAGATTAAGTTAAATTATGATACATTATATTTAGTCAGATTATGGAAGTTAGCTTAAAATGCAATACAGTAAAACAGTGAAGGAGCTTAAGTGCAGTGAAACTATGGGTTAAGAGTGTGACATCATCTGGGGTGTTGTGTACTGTACCACCACAGAAGGGTTGGTCTACTACTGAATGGCTCAATCCCTGGGGATGTTAATACAGTATATATGTGTATAGTACAGTATGTAGTTTGTATATAGGGTGTTTTGCAAACTTTTTTGAATTTTAGTGTTTAAATTCTTATGTGTCAATACATATGTTAAGGTACCACCATTATGTTTATTAAGAAGAAAGTTAACTTTTACTTTCTGAATAAATGGATGGAGCATTAAATTTGAAACAAAAACTTTCTACTGTTCAGGTTGACTGTTGGTCGTTAGGAGTTTTGCTGTACACACTTGTGTATGGTGCCATGCCATTCGATGGCTCGAACTTCAAGCGACTGGTCAAACAAATCACACAGGGAGATTACTACGAGCCTAAGAAGCCTTCTCGTAAGTTCTGACGAGTTAATTTTGTATATACTGTATTTTATCTTGCTGGGACACACCGTAAGATGGTTAATTTTCTGAGAATTTTAGGAGAAAATTGTTTTCATGACTTTAGGTGCAGTGGCTGAGTGATACAATTTCTGCTTCCAGCTCTAAGTGTAACTGGTTCATGCCTGGGGCACCACACAGCTGTGAGTGGGTACCTAACTCTACAGCTGGGGAAGTGAAGGTGGTCACACTGCATTCCTTGTATACTGAAGACTTAAAAGAACATGTGCTTTATATGCGCTATTCCTAACTTTAACTTCCACTTTTTTGTTCTATTATTATTTGCACTACTAGACTTTTGACTTATAGAAGATATACCCTGTGTTGTACAGTGGTATATAAAATACAGGCTTATGTACAGTATATGTATTAAGAACTAACTATCTACTTATTTACTACAATGTCATTTTTAAAGAAAGTAGACAGTTATTTATATTATCAGAGAAGTCTTTCCTGTAGTTACCAAAACTCATAAATAAGTCAATAAATAAGTCGTTAAGTCCAAGTTAAAATGAAAATAAAGAATATAATTATGGGAGTGGGCCTCATTGTTGTACAGTTTGAAATGATTAATTTTGAACTTTCCCTTCCCCAGAAAGTAAGCATCATGAGAATATAAAGGAAGTGTTCCTTTATATACTGTACAGCTTTGTTATGAAGACAAAGGTAATACAGCAAGGTGTCTTATTTGGCCATTACAGCTCTACTACTGTGTGTTAATATAACCTTTGCTTTTATTCATTCCAACACACAGGTGCCTCTGACTTGATCCGACATATGCTCACGGTGTCGGCCACTAAACGAGCCACAATAGAGGACATTTGTAATCACTGGTGGGTCAACGAGGGATTCTCAGAGCAATGTTTGGAAGTGGCCGAGGCCCTGGCTAACCAAACTCCCGTCCGCCTTGATCTGCTGCTGTCACTCGCCCCAAAGCACATCAATTCAGAGCACATGCTCATCCAGCCAGAAGAAGATGACAGTGCCAGAGTGAGTAGTTATGTGGGAGGTGTTACCGCTAATAAAGCTACACTACAAGGAGTAATGACTGTCTTCCTCTTCAGTGTGTTCATCATTACTCAGTTTGGACTTGATCATGAGATTATGAGCCTTTAAGTGATAGCTAGATGACATATTTAAAAAGTTAACACAGTTATCAGTTAGTGAACTTGATAAAATCCGGACAATCTGAATAATTATTTTTTGGTATACAGTAATTAAATCTCATATGCTTTGGCCATAAGAAGCAACATTTGGAACAACAAAAATTAAACTATTAATTTTAAATTTTGCAGAAAACAACGTTGCTTAAAATATGTAATGTACTACAGTATATTGTAACTTCTTCATGGTAGATCTTTCTTGTTGTACTGTAATAATTTTCTTTCAGTATTCAACCAGGGCTCACAGTCTCTTGACTCAAGTGTAGTGAGTGATGGCTGTTGGTAATACATTATCATTGTTTAGAATTTATGTGGCTAACTAATCATGCTTTTGTATACTTTTATTTTCAACTTTTTATCATGTAGAGTTTTTGTTACTTAGCTTTTAATAATTTATAAAGCGCCAATAGCATATACCAATTTTTGCCTTGCAGTCGCCGCCTACCTCAGAGGTGACTCGACCACCCCCACAGCTCCAGTTGCCTCCTCCACCTCCGTCTGACCCTCTTCCAGTTGCTCCAGCACGTTCAGCTTCCCTTGGTGCAGTCACGTCTATTAATCACAATGAAATTGAAGCTTTGTTGGCACAGAAAATACGGGAAAAGAAGGAGAAGGAGAAGAAGAGAAAAGCCGATGAATCTGGTACTATGGAAAAGAAAAAGAAAAGAGAGTCTCTGGTAGAGGGAACTCCCAAACCTAGTCGTAAAGAACGAAAGTCAGACGTACACTCACATGCAGGAGAGTCGGGAAGTAGTCGAAGACCTCCAGTCATACCAGACAGCGACTTATCCGAGCGTAAAAAGAGCGTGAAAAAGCGAGAACCTGTAGTGGACGACGATACTTTAGAACACGATAGAAGTGAGCGTTCAGAACGGAAAAAGAGTGTTAAAAAGCGTGAACCTATAGTTGATGGTGATATTAGTGATCTAAGTGAAAAGTCTGAGAGAAGAAAGAGTGTGAAAAAGCGAGAACCTTCAGTAGGTAAAGATGTTAGTGAGAGTGACAGAACAGAGAGGAAGAAGAGTGTAAAGAAGCGAGATCCATCAGCTGATAAGGACATTAGTGAAAGTGAGAGAACAGACAAAAAGAAAGTTGTGAAAAAGAGGGAGTCTTCTGTGACTAGAGAGTTAATTGATGATAAAGTAGAGAGGAGAAAAAGTACGAAAAAGAAAGAGTCATTGAAGGAAAAGACTCCTATTAAGACTGATAGTGAATCTATTACTGAACCTTCACCTGTGATAAATGGGGAAAAACATGCATATAGTAAAGCCGAGATGGGTAAGTCACGGGACATACAGATGGACACATGTGAGGACCAATTCTTGAGTCAGAGCCAAAAGCCTCCCCTACCCAAGGACCAAGTTATAGAGCAGGTACAACCTCCTTCATCCAATGATATGGAACTATGTAGAAGTAACAGTGCAAAGAGTGAGATTAAGGAGAACTCAGGTCAACAGTCTGAACAGGTAGAGCCCATGGAAACTGAGCCAGTCACTCCCACGACAACGTCCCCGGGACCCACGAGAGTGTCAGCGAGCATGAGATCAGTGGGGTCTGCTGCTTCCAATGACATAACCCTTAAGGCCTCTGATTCTTCACTCTCCAGGGAGTCTGTTAGTCCAATGAAGACTGAGGTAGGGGCATCCCCCCAGCCTCATGACACGCCAAAGAAATCATCATCGCCCAGTCAGACTCCACAGGTGAGAAAAGTAAAGTCAAAGTCATTAGTAAAAGCTTCCTCTAAGAGTAAGGTTGAGGCCAGGCCAGTGGAGGTAACAACCACCAACAGTGAAGTTAGTAGAGTAGTTCCATCACCTATTCCCAGGGTAGATGAAACAGAAAAAATTTTGCAAGAAACTGCAGATATAATTAAACATGCAGAAGAGTCAAACATTCCTGATACATTAAAAACAGGATATGAAGAACCTCAGGTCAAAAGGGAAGTAGGTGGAGGTGTTGTGCGCAAAGAATGTGAGTCAGTCAGTGACGTTCGGCAGAAGGATACTGAATCAACTGGTGAGTCGGTCTCTAGTAAAGATGTTAGCCAGTCATCATCTATGTTATCAACTCCAACTCGAAGTCGAGCTGGTTCAGAGTCATCCACAGAAGCTCGGCCGCCCCGTACAGACTCGGCAAAGAGACAGTCAAAGATTTTTAAGGCTGCTGCCATGTGGGAGAACCAAGGTAATACAACTCAACCCCCAATTGAGAAACTCAAGAAGCCAGTCAGAACTGCGGGAAATGTCATGTCCGACCTAGCAAGGAAGTTTGAGGAAAAGCCATTAGTTGATCGCAAGAGTAAATTGGTACCCAGTTTTAAGGTAATTTTTATTTTTTATTAGTTTTTTATTTTACCTGAGTAGCAATCATCAAAGTTCATAGCTTGATTAGACAGGCACCAATAAAATGCACGGGTTTGCATTATCTCCTTAGATATTATTTCCCACCTCCTGTTGTACTGTCCTTATGTGAGCATCGTAAAGCATGATACTTATATTTACTACACTGGCTTGTGAAGTGCTGACTAAGATTAATGGCAACAAATATTTTATTATGATCTTGCCTTAAGAGTATCTCTGATTGAGGAACCTTTTTCTCCAAATATTGTTGCTTTTCACTTTACTGTGGTGTACATTGATGGATTGTCTGTTAAAGTATGTCTCAATTTTATAGATTAATTTTTAAGGCTAAAGCCATTGACCTGATGGTTTTCATAATACAAGCTGCTAATTGGGTGTCGTAAGCCCTGAGACGGTCCCCTGTACTGTGAGCCTATACTGAGTATTCAATGGATAGGAAAAAATCTGGACTTTCACTGAGTCAGCTTTTTATTTGAACACATTTATAATGGAGCAATAAAGAGGGGTTGGTAGGTCTTCCTTATAAGACAGTTGCTGTCTTGTGTGATACACTGTCTGCCTTCTTTTCTGAGATTTTATTTCTTTTAGGCATTGTGAGAGACTGGTAGTTATTGTGAGATGTTAGTAGGTAAATTGGCCTGTGTAAGGTTAACTCACAGGTTAGGTCTCCTTGCTTTGAGGACAGTAATGTTTAGGCTTCAACAATCTTTGAATATTTCAAATAGGGAAAATGTGTTCCTATTACAACAAAAGCATTATTCTCTCTTAATCTGGAGGAGGAATAGGACTGTCTGTATCCCAGTGTGTTTTGGATTCCTCTGGAAGGTGTGGATGGATCTTATGTGAGCTGGGTTCAGTACACCAGAGTGATGAAGATGGTGGTGTTTCGTCTCGGATATATGCATTAGCTTGAAGGAGCCTTTGCTTCTTACCGGTATCCAATATGCTCGAAAATACAAACAATACAGTATTGATTTTTTCATGGACATGTCAGCAGTCAGTTGTGTTAATAAACGGGTCATCAACAATTTGCTGGAACAATGAATGTTGAAGCAGATGTTGTGTAGAGTGAGGATTTGTTACCTTCTAATTTGAGTTTATATGACGTGGCCTTCTCGTGGTATTATTATCTCGGGTTAATTCTTTCATGGATTTGTTTGCCTTTTCCTCTGGATGGCACCAATGCTGTGGAGTGTTTACCATTGGTTTGGGATTGTTGGGAGCAGATATTCCCACTCTTTCCGTCTACTACAGGTCATAGGGAAGCTTTATGTTTCACTGAATTACTGTCTTAATACTGTACTGTAGTTCCATATTAACCTAGCAGGAATTGGCTTCTGCTTGAACATTGTATGAGGCTTCTTTCTATTTCTTTCTCTTTCAAGATTATGTTTATATTTTCAAGAGTTTGTCACCCAAGTCTTTTAGTGGATATCGGTTGACTTTGTGTTTGATGATGATTCACTAAAATTATTGTATGGAATGTTTGAATGTCAGGGTTCCAATTTTTTTACACTCTTCACTTTCTTAAGGATCTTTATGGTATTCCATTCAGGCATTGGAGAGGATTTCACCAAACTCATTTCTGATAGAACTATGTGGTCTTGTATGGTCTGGGGCTATGGTCAGTGATGGGTTCTGAGCAAAGCTTCAATGATAACACCAAAGGCCTCTCTGGTGAGGAAGAGTTAGGGAGTGGGTACAAAGTACACTCTTGACTTTTGGAAATGACAATGAAAAAAGAAGCACAGTGTGTAGCTTGAACATCCTCCCTCCTCATGGGAATTGGTGACTAATAGTGAATTCATATTGGTGCAAATGTGGTGATTGGGTAGACGCATCACCACCGCTTTATGGCCTTTTTCCATGCTTGTGTGGGTTAGCATGATTACCTGATGGCAGCTCTCCATGCTGCATGGTGTCTTGCAGCCTCTCTTGTAAGGATCTTATCTCTCGAGGGTATTTCTCACAACCTCTCCCCATGTCATTCTTGGTCTACCCCTAACCCTCCTGCCCTCCACATTTAAACTTCTGCATCTCTTGACTCAGTTGGTCTCCTCTTTTCTCTCTACATGCTTGAACCATCTCAGCCTACCTCATTGGAACCCTCACCAATACCCTCAGTACCCAAGTGCCCTGGTAGCTCTGAACAGAGTTTCAGTGTCACATTACAAATTCTATCTCTAAAAAACTTCCTGTCATATGCGAATAACTCTTACTCCTGAGCTTTCCCATTTTTGGGGTTATGGGGTGATAAGTTTGATACAAAATGGGTTAACAGATTAACCCTGGCAGACATAATGTGGGGGTTGTCTGAGGACACACAACCCCCCAATAAGCATCCTGTATTGGATAAGACATCTGATTGTGGACATAAGTCAGAAAACAGTAATTTTAGGGTTAATCCTCCATTTATCTCTTTAGATTATAGAAAGAGAATACTGTATGATGCACAGTAGAAATTCTAGAATACTTATTTTTAAATATTTATTTTTTTATGCAAGAGGGGCAGATTGAGAGGGGGGGTGGATTTATTTGATGAAACCCAACACTTGTTTCAGATTGGGATGTTTTATGGTTACAAATTATAAATACCTGATACTGTATTGGAATTAAACATACTAAATCAAGATAGTATCTTGGTTCGGGGAGCGTTATTACCCACCTAATGGACCTGCCCCTGACTGTACAGTATTGTGTTGTAGTCTGGAATCATAATTTTTTAATGTTTGTAATGGTGCAAATCTTTTTTTTTAAATGCAATATGTAACTACTGTACCGTACCTGCTCTGTAGTTCAACACAACAGATCTATAACTGTGTAGACTCGGGTTCAACACAACAGATACAGTTTAAAGCTTCTGGACTTAATATTGACTCTGTCTTGATTGGTGGCAATATAGTAAACACTCTGTACGTGTCTCCGAA